GGGGGGGGGGGGGGGGTGTCTTCTACCACGACGAAAAATCCCGTGGGAGCAAGCATTTGCGGTCTATAAAGCACTACTATCCGGAAAAAATTATTTTCCGGATTTATATGTAATTCGATAACCTTATCTTTTTTAAAAAAATTACACGCTCCACGTCACTCTGATTACGAATTTCAGTCCATACTTTGAAGGCCACAACGAACAGCAAATTACTGTCCTAATAGACTCAACTACCAATAACATTCGAGGTTCTCACGGCTCAGAGAATGAGATTCTTGTGGACTGTTACGCCATGGAAATACCAAGGTTTCGCAGAAACGCACAGCTCCATCTAAATTTTCAGAACTAAGCAGACTTCAGTGTGTAAGGTTTTCCGTGCGTCTGTCGTCCAGAACCGCGAATTAAAAACGCAGTCCAGTCAGAATCTGAACGTGTCACGTGTCCACTGACATTAAGCTCTGGTTCGTACCTGAGTCGTAGAAGCTCGTGTGGTAGCTCTGACAAGGGATGCCGGTCCTGCACAGCTGGACGTGGGTTGGCTTCGTGAGGGGGTCGCACAGCGCACTGGAGGCGCTCCGGGCGTCTCTGCACTGAACGGTGCGGACCTGCTGACCCTCGCCACACGACACGGAGCACTGGAAAGTGTACAGAGGCCCAAGGCACTTGGGATTACGAACCTTCCTGAGGACCTAGAGGCTGAAGATGACTGTCTTCTGGGCTGTTGCTGACGTTTACCGATGATCGGGGCTGCAAGGACCTCTGAAACGTCGGTCTCCTTCCAGACTACACGGCGCAAGAATCCAGAAGACAGCCATCTTGTCTTAATGTTAAGACACCAACGCAAAACGAGAACTACAATAAAAGTTTTGTTTATTTCAATGTTTACGCTAGACGAAACACGGAAAGAGGAGACATTCTGAAGTGCAGTGTACCAGGAATTTACTGAATTTAATCTAGTCTTAATTTCTTCGAGAATTTTGCAACTTAAAGGGTACTTAGCGGACGCTACTCTCGCCGATGGACGGGACGCTTAAGTCAGTATCCTCAAATTAATAATTGGCACCAAAATCCTGCTACAAGCGACCACAGAACCTCTGAACGTATTAATTAGGATCACGAAGGAATTGCAAAGTGGGATCGATACTAGCGCTCATTAACAGTTAAATTATTAGGCTATAAACTAATGAAGTTAATGAACTAATTAAATTATACAGAAATTTTCATGGTTTATGGAAAAATATGGGCAACGAAAGGAAATACGATGTCTCGCTCGACGTAATAAACGTAATTGGTCGGGTATAGGAGCCTTAATAAGTTTAGTTTGGAATTCCTGATACAAGATGTCACTGGCAGAGTCTTGTGTTGAAGTGGAGACCAGCACTTACAGTGGTCTTTGCTGAAGACGACGATGTAACTAGGCCCAATGTAGTTTCACGCATATTTTCATTGTGGAGCATTTAATTAGCTAATTATCAAGTGCCAATTGTTTCAGGGGCGAGAATTTGGGTTGTATGCGGCTCACGACGACAGAGTGTCCACTTAATTATAATTCATTTGACATTTCTGTCGATAAAATTTTGTTGAAACGTTATCTTTCAGGAAATGATTCGGTTTTTGTCTTCATGAATTGGGAAACGTAATCTGAAGCGTGTGCTTGAATTAGTCAACGTCAGCCTGCGGTTTCATACGTAATAAAAAGTCCTCGTCTCTCCTGCAAGTGTGTGGAACATTCGAGATCACACACTACGGCAGGACACAATAGCCGTGGAAAAGTGAGGCAGCGGGCAATCTGCCCCTCCCACGCCACGCAGCACAGATTAGCCCCTGCTCCCGTACGTCATCGACGTTTGTTTCGCTGTAACAAGGGCCCTTAGTATCTCGTTCTCCGGTCACTGAGCTGTTGATCACCGACAGCGATGAATTATCTTCAAGCTTGCCGCTAGAATGGTTTTGTTTTCGCGATAACGTTCCGAAAAATGTATTTGAGGTTTAATGACGCGAGGAGATCCTATTCTGGTAATTAAATCAAGGAGTCACGGCGAGTACAGTACCACGCAGGGAACAAGAGACTATTAGGGAGACCTAGATGCAGACGGGCAGATAATATTAAACTTTGTTGAATATATGAGGCTTCAGGATGACGAATGGGTTTCAGCAGCGAGCTGTTCTGAACACGAACATTCAGGATGAATAAAAAGTGGGAAAATTTTGAGTAGATGAGCGACTGTTAGCTCACCCTGGAAACATATCTGACTCGATGAAAGGACAGACACCGGATACTTCAATGGACGCAGCGTACAGATCTCGCTCCTGTGCAAGAAATTAACTGCCTTCCCGAGACGACAAACAGTGTCTTCGGGAAAGACTGGTATGCTTCTCAGCGGGGAAGTAGAAGGGTGTAGGTGGGTGGGATTACCGACAACCCCTGGCAACAACAATATTAATAAACTGCAAACAACCAAAAGCAGTGAGTACCAAGTCAATTAGGAAAGATTTATCAAGTAATTAGATTGTAACGGCGAGCTATAAAAAGATTTTAAAAAAAAATGTAAGGGTCCTTGCACCTTGTCTCCTACATTTTGCGGGGGCAGAGCCTCCCCGACCCTCTGAAATCTTTAATGCATGCACCCGTCCCTGATCTACTCTCACCTCCTACGCCGAAGCAGCGAGGCTACCTAAAAAACCACCCGATAGCCACACAGAAGACGACGACGGGGAAGGGAATCTTTGACTCGAGGACGGATGGCGTCCAGTGGCTACATTTCTCAGCCAGTGCGGTCTTAAAATCTGCTTCCCGTGTGTCGTCATTTGGATTACGTTATGAATATTCAGATTTCAGACTTATATTGAGATGATCATCTTCCAGTGCACAGAAATTGTTTTATGGCGAACTGCTGCAAAGACGCTAGTATGTGTATGTGCGTGTATATATATATACACGCACAGAAAATTTATACAAGTCATAAAAGTTTTTCGGTAATTCAACTCTCGGAACGACTTCAATTCTAGTGCAATCGACGTCACTAGTTCCTTCAACTTGGCTCGCAGCCATTTTTATCTTTTATTTATTTTTATCTGTACAGTTTCTTCTCGAACAAAAACGCCTATCTGTTATAATGGGATGGATTTATTTGTGAACGCTATAACACTTTTCATTACTTAAAAAATGAAAGTAGTTCGAAAGGACTTCGGACTAAATATTTTTGGTCTCTCAACTACAGCGAGAGTTGTCAACGAACGATATAACAGGGCATGCGCACACGCATGTACGGGTAATGTAAAGTAATCCGTACAGAGCAGAATCGTGCTTTTATTGGGCAGAAATGAACCCGAACACATCACGCCGCTAGATTTAAGCAACGACACTAATTAAGTGTACGAATGTCAGTCGATATCGAGCATTAATATCGATCACGAGTAGTTTTATGGGTCAACTAGCAACTTCGCTTGAATAACCTGATGTGTTCAATGCGTTAAGAAATGTCTGCTGGTTCATAATTTGTTTTTTAGTAATAACGAATTGACAGAGATTCGTCAATTGAGAATCTTGTGTCTTCCTGTCTCCTACTTGAAGACGTAAATATTAAAACATGCAAAATTATAAATTTACCTGATGTTTTGTATGGGTACGATACTTGGTCTCTCATGTTAAGGGAAGAACACAGAACGAAGTGGAGTGAATATCAGGAGATTATAAAAAAAACATCACGAGGAGCTCAAAAATTTGCGCTTAACACGTTTATCGGTGATGGGGGAAGATGGGTGGGGCATGTCAGGTGCGAGACATTCTTCCTGAAGTTCGGTAGGAAGACCTGAAATAGAGGGAAAGCCTGAGAAACACAGACCCAGATGAGGTATATTATTAAAATGGATCTTAAATAAATATGGCAGACGTAAGCGGTCTAAGTCAGGGCGTGGTGCTACCTTCTGAAAGACTCTGCCACTTGTCTTCGCGAGAAACCGCGTTTGCTCGGCGCTGGCAGTTGACTGTGTTGGTAACACTGATGTTGACACGAGCCACTGAGAAGCCGGCGCTGCTGTGCCCACAAAGGGCAAAGGTCGATGGAAATGACGCTCCTTGAATTTTCGTGCGTGAACGTCGAACAAAACAACTTTTTCGCTTCAGGAGTCAAAGGAGGGCGTCCAGCAGCGAGCGAATGTGTGTAGTGGCAATCAGACACTTGCGCGATTTTCCTTTGAGACTTTTTTGTGGCGAATGAGAAAGCAATCCCGGGAAGGTCGGGGCAGGCGACGGAAAAGAATCTCGGGGAAACTCAGGAGGCGGAGGACTCGGAACAAATGCGCTTTATTACATTCAGTTGGGTGGAAAGTCGAACTCGGTAGAAATTCACGCACACAAATACTATTCCGATCAGTGGCTACGAAACCAATATTCTTTGTAACACACCCATTTTTCTTAGAGTACGATTCTCTGTAATTAAATATCACTGCCGCTTATCATCATTATTATTCCATATATTCAACACCTTACAGGGTATTTACTTCCATGTACCTGAGACAAACCTCGCCCCTGAGGTACGTAATGCAGCAGCTGTTTCCGAAAAACATTTTGTTTTCTTAATACGTGCTAAATATATTATATAGTTTTATTGTGAGGGACGACTATATATTTTACGTGAGCGTCTTTCGAATGATGTATGATGTTCCTAGAATGACAGTTTTCTGAAGTTCCCTGATGTCGTGTTCGCCCGGGATGTTGGCCAAATATTTTTTGAGTGACTTGGAGACAGTTCCATTTTCTCCTATAATTATTGAGATTTTTCACTTTCCACATTCGCTGTATTTCAATGAGAAGGTCCTTGTATTTCAAGATCTTCTCTGCCTCCTTCTTAATTACGTTCCTGTCTGTCGGTATTGCTATATTAATTAGGAGGCAAGTTCCATTTTTGTTTTGGATTATGTTACTTTTCTAACTTTACCCCATCTTTCCTGCGTATGTTAAGATGTAACTGAGTACACACACGATCATGTCGTCGTATATATTGCTCTCTTTATGGCTTATTATTATTATTACCCGAGGAAGTATAAACTTTGCGCGGTCGCCCAAGATTCGTCCAGGAGATTGGCGTTGTTGGAGACTGGCACCGAATTTGAGACGTTCATCGAGGTAGTGAGGCTAATTAGAATGTTTGAATAAAAGCCGTTATAATTACCTCAAAGATCAACACACGAATGGTGCAATTAGCGTTCAGAATTGTCTGAAACAAACAGACGACAAACGTCACTGCGTCTCGCTGCTTTCGAAAGTTTAACAAATGAAGGGAGAGACGACGAAGGCACGCGCAGTTCACAGTGACACGAGGGCGTCGTATCTTGAGCCGACGTCGGTTCAATGGGATGCCGATTGTCCTAAGTCAATGGACGATGCCATAAACGTGCACATAAATAAATGAAATATCACCCTGGATTTTTAATACTCTGTCCGACATGACGAGGCTTGAATCTAATGACCATCTCGGCACGAATCAGCGAGATGAACGCGTCATTAGTTTTCTTTTAAATGAGCAACGCCTTTTCGAAATAGAACGTGAAAGCACACGAATGTTTTGTGACACAAAAGAGTAGATTTTACAAGAAACACACATATCGCGTGTGACCTTCGACCTGGATGTTTGAACTGGGGAATCGCTTCGCGCCTCTTCATATTAGAGGTCTAAAATGTATATCAACATAATTCTGTCTGTAAAAATTTAACATGGACGCCAATAAGGTGCCGAATGAGAGTACCTGAAGAAAACGTTTCAATGTCTTCCATCGCTAAAGCAAAAGAACGCAGACGTGACATGTCTAATGCAGAACAGCGCATTAATTATGAAACGATCGCTCTGTTAATTGCTAATGACGTAAAGCACGCGCCAGAACCTCCAATGCGCAAACTACGAAGAGGTTCTGAGTCAGGAGCGAACAGAGCATAAAACTCTTTCCTTCGATGGGCTTTATGGAAAATGTTTTCGCCCCGGTCGATATTTAGCGACTTTCTCTCGACATGCGCACGAGAACGAAGATTATTCTTGCACGGTCATAGTGAAAACTGTAATGTTCCTGTAAATACTAGAAAACCTCTAAAATACCAAGTTTCGTGGAAATTAATTCAGCGGATGCGGAGTTTGCACACGCGGCAAAGCCAAGAAGCCAATCACTGAAATTCTTCTTTTGCAAACTCATTCAAGAATTATTTTTAATTCGACTCAATACATACGTAACTTCTTCACACATTCACCGACGACCAAACCCCGTCCCGCCCTTCAGATGCAACAATTTCCTGCTCCGGTAACAAGAACCTCAGAACTGGGCAGAATTTTGAAAGAACGCCAGCCTTTCTATAGCTCAGTAACCAGCCTTCTGAAGTTCCCATATCCAACCGAGTACGACGGTTGATACCAGGTTCAGGCCTCGAACAGGATGCTACTTCCCGTGGCCTTCTACTTTTCGTGGTTTTACTCAGTCCCTCAAATGTGAATGGCGGGATATCACATTGAGATTCTGCGTCTTTCTAAACTAAATTAACTCCTCATTTATCATCGGTCTCCCATTTCACTCGACGGTATGACGCAGCGTCGTTAAACAACCACAAGAACGGCTGCGATAGCGTGGAATCAAGATTCTGTTCCAGATGACTTAAGTCATTAGTTTTCTTAAGGATCACAGAATACGCGACTCTTACTTAAGTCTGGCAGTTCGACGAAGCTCTCATTCTAGATCTGCTGAATATTTAAGCAGACGGTGGAGCCACACAGTTCCAGCAGAGGGGCTTTACGGCACATCAATCATCTTAAACTCGAGTTCACTGTCTCCAGAACAAAAATGGCGGCACGAGACATTTGCTCTACGCGGTTACTGATAATATCCACCGCCTTGCGAGAGAGTGACGTAACATTTCACTGTCGTGCACGTACTGAGTCGAGACCAAGGGGCAACATTCCGGAAGAGAGAGTCGTGACTCGTAAGACCAACGAAACTGGGGTCAAGCCCTAAATTAACGGTGGCTGCAGACATTAAACACGCTTCAATGGTAACCAGCAAATGCGGAAGCCACAAGTTCTTTTTTCATGTGCAGGGGGCGAGGGGCTTCTGCAGTAACCAAGTTCACACTCACCCCTGACCACTCTCCGGTGTTCCAGGCCGGACAGTCCATGACGTTGCAGGGTTCCTGGTAGCGAGGTTTGTGTCCGTGGCAGAGGTACTCAGGAACCTGGGACGGAACATCAGCGCAGAATCAGACACAGAAACAAAACACAATAAATACAAAGTTTTGTTACAACAAATCAAAGTATGAATTAAAAGGCGTGCGTAGGTCACGTGTTGCAAACAGCTCTCGTGAACCATAAAATGTTGGGAATTTCTTGAATTGTTGAGCGACTGTTAGCTTCTCATGAAGAACTCGGCTCCATGGAGTGAGTGAGTAATGGCTGTCTTCTGGGTTGTTGCGCCATGTAGTCTGGTAGAAGTTTACCGACGTTTAGCCGGTCCTTGCTGCCTCCATCATCAGGGGAAATCTCCCTGATGATGGAGGCAGCAAGGACTGTTGTGACCCAGGGCGGACTTGTTTCCCTTGAGCTGTAGAGTCTGCACGTAAACGAGGAGCCAAGACACTCCAACCAACCAAAGAGTGCGACACCTCTAGAGCTCAAGTCCCACAAGCCACCGGCCTTCGTCACTTATTTTGAGTCGGAAGACTTAAGCACCGTTTATGGGGGACTCGAGGGTTTATGCCAACGTCCTAAAGATCGCAGCACTGTTCCTTCCTAAGACTCAGACGCATCTAAACGCCCAGATCAATCCAATCCTTTGGACAACCAATGCAGAGTTTCGAAACCGCATGCTACAATGGGGAGACCCTGGATACACGCCTCTCCTGAGCGACGTACGCCAACCAGGCAGAAAAGAGATGGGACGTGACTTGCCCCGTAAGACCCGTTCATCAGAAATGGCTCGGTATTTTATGAGAAACTCGTCATTTCTGTGATAATCTATGGTTGTCCGATCTTCAGGTCTACTGTTCAGAGCCTTGTCCGGAAATTCACGAGTCCAATTTTACGCTGACGACGCCGGGGAATTAACTGAGAGCTTATAATCGACGTTACGTGATGCTGGGAGCCCTCAGGAAGCCTCCTGTACCTACCAAGGGCTCTCAAGACTGCCATCCTGATGTGTTTTCCGTGTTTTTATACAGTTGAAAGACAAAAGCAGGGTACAATTAAAATGACGTAAGGCATACCTTCCGCTAAGCACGGAATCTGCAAGCCAAAATGATTCTCCGCCAATTCGTAGAGGCCACAGCCTCAGAGACCTCAACACTTTTGGGTTGAACTCCCAGACACCCACGAATCCATCTACATTTCTTGAAAAGGGAGAACTGACTGACAGGATCGCCATGGAACCACTAGCAATGACCCCCGGTCTGATCATGTCAAGGCCTTCGGCCGAGAGAACACTCCCAACAAAAGTGTGTATGGTTCTCTTTGCCAAATCTAACTGTGCGTTTCGTACTCACGAATGATTTGGCCTTGCAAAAGGTGTCTTCTTCCGCTTGCGAAAAAAGAGTCCATCCTCAATTAGCCACGTGGCGTCTCCCAAAGGGACCTCGATCTCGTCTGACTGTTTTTTTTATTTGTGATACAGACAGGAAAAGCAAACAGCTGTTTTGTTACGTCAACGTAAAAGAAAAGTAACTGGAATCATCTCTGCTGCATTTCTGCGGGTTGTGGAAATGACTGTCGAGGACAGAAGTGCTTGGCCGCGTGGAATATTACCGCAGGCCAATTTGATTAAGGCGCAGGAAGAAGGAACAGAGAAGTGGAAGTATTGATAAACACAGATTGGCTCCGTGCGAAGTTCCCCGAGGACACATAAAGAGCAAGAGGGCGTGAAAGTAGATTCGTTCTTCTGCTGCTCCTCGAATTCATCAATAATACAGATCGAACATTCAGCGGGTCGTCGGCAGCATCATATCAATGTTAGCAGAACGCGTCGTGTGGAAAGAATCCGAGAGACGTCGAAGCAATACGAGGGAAGAAATTATCGCGATCTGGACGCATCGCTGCCACAGTTCAAAGTTTCGGTATCCGACAGCAAATTCTGCGCACAGAACGCATGGTCCTTTTCACAACACCAGCGGAAGTGAGATCAGGTGAACGCAGAGGTCACCCGATTTCATTCCTTGTGGGTGGGGGGGGAGGGAGGTACAGATTGAAACAGCATTCATGCATCACTTCTAAAAGTCAAGTGGGTTGCGTGACTTTTCGATTCTCCTGTACTCTATCTCGTAGGAAATTATATATATTTTTTTTTAATTTTAACGTGCAAAATCAACAACTGCTTCACGTAAAAGTTTCAGGCGTTAATGTGATTATGCGTCATTCATTGGACCGAATTTTTTTTGTAAAATATACTCGTGCAGTTTCTCAAAAAGGCTAGCTTCACTGGCGTCGTGGACTGGGACAAGAACAGTTCCTCATCATGCGTTCATTTTATCCACTTTCTACGTAGAACTAAGAACAATGTTAGAAATTAGGCCCTTACGTCCAAGCTAAAATACAAATTATCCATTTCACGAGCAGTCAGCTTCAAAGACGACAGACAGCGAGACAAGTCCCACGCGCTCTTCAGGAACAGCCAATCAACAAAACTGAGAGCAGAATGTTCAGTGTTCGTCGGCGATGTCTCGAAGTTGTCAGGGGGAGGGTTAAATCTAAATGACGCTGGTTTTACAGGCCGTAGAATTAGACCTTGAGAAAACAAATTAAAGTCTCTCCCATTTTCTTACCCACGAGTCTACACCGCAGATTATCCGAGCTTACTTTTCAACCCATTGAATCGGAACATAATAACGCAGGATTGATTGACGGTGCACGACGGTTATTCAAGTGGCGAACTTTGACCTGACAAACAAGAGGACACAAAGGGGACATCCCTCACTCACGTGGCTGTTATTGGAGGTCGAGGAGCGGGCACATTGACTGAATGGGAGTCTGTTATTTAAATTTCACTGAGCAAACCACATAGCTCCACTCCAATTAATTACCGTCAACACAATAAAGGACCCGGGACCCTTCTACGTCTACTAGAAACCCCCATCCCCGCCGACTGCTCTCCTTTGCATGTCTGACTCCATTAGGAGAAGCTGCATTAATCTTCCTGCCCATTAAGCCGACCTCCAGAACCGCTTTCTTCCCCCTACCCCCTGATCTTATGCAGCAAGGAACACGTCAGACTCGCTGCAACTCAAAATCACTTCGCAATATCAGCGATATTGCAAAACCACGTCGATTATTTTGAACTAACTGCGGGTAATTTCATGCAGACTGAAAATAACAATGTCGAGCCATAAGAAACTACAGGCTTTATGAAGACGCACGAGCACTCTTGAGCTCCGACGTCACACGTAACAGTTTCAGAATTGAAACGTTAGCTGAGGCGTTGAGCGAAGTTTCGACATCGTTTCAGACTCTCCACACAAGCATGACGTCATTTGCAGACTCAGAACTTCGAAAGCGCTGGCGATCAGAATACAAGAAGTGGTCGTGAAAATGTTGTTGCTGATATTTTTTGAAAAAGATAAAATTGCAAACGATTTAAAAGAAAATTGTCAGGAAAATGACCAAAACTTGTAACGACGAGTAATATAAATTTTCCAAAGAGCAAAATTCACGGCCTGCACGGGCCATCGTATTGTTGGAACAGTGAAACGAAAAAGGTTCCGATGGATTCTGTATGTGGTAGGATAAGAGAGAAAGGCGTCCGAAGATAAATAATTGGAGGGTTGGAGTACGAGTGGATTGGATTAAACTGGCGCTTGGTCGAGCCCAGTGCTGACCTGTGGTAACCAGTTTTCCGAGAATTTTGTAAGCAATTCTAAGTTCGCACGTTATAATTAAAGGGAAGGGCCTATCTTTCGTAATCATAAATTTTATTAATGATACAAGTAGTGGTCCACCGTGGATCGTTTTGTTCGACATGTGAAATTATATGTCGTCACATGCCTTAATTCTCACAGGCCACGTACCGAATTTACCGGAACGACATGTCGTAATCAGAATTCTTAATGTGACATCTGAAAATCCAGGATTAATTAATTAAGCAAATTCTTCACTAGGCCAAATGTTTATGGCACGGATAGTAGCTAATGCTTACAGAGCCGATGTTTTCAGAGTGTGTAATGCTGCTATAAACAACTCAAACAGTTATCAAAGTCTTTGCGTTTTTTCACGAGTGGTAAACGGGACACAAATGTGATTCTGGTTAAATCTGCGTAGTTCTTTCTGCAGCGTAATAATGTATAATTTATGTATAATTTATGTATAATCGCACGTTCTCTGGCTTTGTTTCCAGCCACCGCAAATTCAGAAGGACAAATGGCCATATTTTCCCATCATATTTAAAAAACTGTGACGCATTCATCACGTGAACTGAAACGCTTCGATGTTCGATTAGCGTCTGCTTTAACTTTCAGCAGCCAGATAGCGGCCAGGTTGCATTGCCGACATTCCGTCAGCCAATGGCATTTTGCACTCCGCCACTGAAATCATTACAGTCAACCTGTGATCACAAGAAAACAGTTCACCTCATCAACAGTCGCCCAACTTTTCAAAGAATTTCCAGCTTTTCAATGAACCTAAAGGTTCAGTACCGTGTTCACAAAGGCACAGATGAAACGCTCTGAACAAATGCAGAATTAGGATGCGATAGTCGCTTCGAAAAAGTGTTTTTTATCACGTCGAATCAACTGGAGAAGAATACGACACTGGAAGAGATCGTAATTTTTCAAACACTGGGATTAAATCACAGGCAGCGATTTCTCGTTCGTTCCTGTTTTGGTGCGTGTCATTGGGTATTACAACAATTTATCTCCTTTCTCGTCGTCCTGTCTGTTAGCAACGCAACTGGTGCTAACACACGCACAATTCATCGACCAAGGTAACATCGGGTTTGTTTCGATTCAAATCCAACTTCGAGAGAGACAGCACTTACAAAATATTTAACATCACGAGTATTAAGATTATACCAAAATGTAGGGGGGCCCTGAACGGGGGCAGAGACTCACCTTTGACCGCGTTCCGTTGCCCTCCTCGGCGCACTGTACGTATCGGAACCTTGAGCCGCCTCCACACGTGACGGAGCACGGGCCCCAGTCGTACACCGCCCACCTGAAACACACGGCGTGCCACACTGAAGACAGGGCGGCAGGTTCCCAGGTCACCCACAGTCCTCATTCAACGACGCATTTTAGTCGATCGACATTCATTGAACCAGTTCGCGAGCATTTTCAACATGGCGGCTGTGCGAACCTGTAACGTGGGAAGCCTGAGGCCGACACTCACGTTCGACCCCACTCTTCTGCATGCAGCGAGAACTTTGCCTTCATGTTGTGAAAATCCGCGACATTTACGACTGAAGAACTATTTCAATCAAATCGCTAATCGTAACCCGCGTTAAGATTCATCTGGAGTGAGTCGTGGACACGCCCAGGACTTGCAAATGAACCAATCGGACTGACAGATGGACACGGCGCCCGGCGTCCAGTTTGTGAACTGCCGCTGCGGAGACCCCAACAACTCACCTGATATCCTCAGAGGCGCGTGGATATTTGCGTCTCTGAACGCTCAGAGGCGGACAATCCTCGTGGCCTTTCATATTAATCATTCTGTGATTACAGGGTAAGGCGGAGTCAGTTATTTTAAGGGCGTGGCAGGTAACAAAATTCGTAATTGGGATAGAAGCGAAACCTGAAATCGCAAAACCAAACTGAACATTGAGCCGTCTGTTGTGGAGACGCCATTTTGCGTATTGTCGACTGCAGCGCCGCGAGTGATTACCTACAAGACTTCTGTAAAAAAAGGGAAATAGACTTTTTGACTTT